GCTAGAGCCCAATTATCGTTTCTACCGCCAAAGACAAAGTACCTCCGGTGGCTCTCGTTCTTTCATTTTGCGAAGCTTCTAATTCAAAACCTTTGAAAATTTCCTTTGAACTATATATATTGATCCAAAAGCTCGGGATGGAGCCAGAATTTTCAATTAGGGGTCGTCGAAATTTTTTTCCTACGAAGAAAATACTTGAAACTATAACATCCAAAATTATTCGCAATCTTTTTATGTAAAAACCATTTAAACTTATGTCAATACTATGAAAATCATGACATATATATCGAAATAAAATAGCTTAAACTGACTGTTTTTGTTCAAAAGATAATTGAAATTACTAATATCACAAAGATTATCATGTTCACATAGTGCCAAATGTCAACTACAAATATCAAGAAAAATCAAACTAGGAGGATGCATTGAGAAATGAGAAGGTGTTTTAAGACTAGATTTAACTATTTTAAATATTAACACGGAAAATAAATTTAAAAACATACAGGGGAAATAGTTACTAAATTGAAAAGAAAATCAGGGGAGATGTTGGGGCCTGTGGGGGAGAGCCAATCTGAAGCAAAATAAACATAGGATGGGATCAAACCCTGATCCTCCCACCTAATTTTAACATGCCAAAATACTACGTTACATTCAACTTTGTAGTAATTCTTCACTTTCGCAAGTATTTGTAAGTTTAGGGGGTCCTAGTTACAAGCTGGCTACGTCCCTGCAAAAGCTATGCATACAATATTGGAGCACGCAACCCATTCCACGAGAGAACACAAGTGATTGAGTGTGTCATGTGACTATGTGAGTAATCTCATGGTCATTATCGAACATTACAAATACATAACAATTGCTCGCCTTCTTCCAAACCAATTCTTATTGGTTTGAAGTTTGCACATGTACTAATATCATGTGTGCATGTGTAATAAATGTAGGTCGTTCAGACTCGAATACAAGACCTCTCGATTATCGAAGGCTCTCATACCATGATACTATGTCTAGAACTAGTTGATCTTAATTAATCGAACTTTTAGGAGAAATTCAATTATATATCTTATACATCACCTGAATCAAATAAGTCAAGTTAATGGACAATCTTTGACGCGAGGAGACGGACTCAAATAGTGAATGTAAGAGACCATGCATCTACCAGGAAAAGAGACAAGATCCGATTGGATAACAACTCTGTGCCTAACAGCCGATTTCTCAACTGACCTAGTAGCTTGCAAGATCTTATTTTCAAGTTCCATTTCCTAACAAAAGAACACAAAGTTCATATATGTATAGTGTATGATAATAGCTTACTTGATACATGTTAGTTGACGTACTTTTCAAAACCTCACGTCAATAGAAAGAAATATAAATTGCACAAGGTACTGAAAAAACTCAAAAAGAAAAAAAGAAAAGAGCACAACAAGAAACACGCGACATTTGACTAACCATAGGTTCTACAGCGGTTTGTCCAATCCTTACAATTTTTTTAAAACAGTGTTACCGATTTGTGAGCAACTTTGTCATTTGAGATTAACCAGGATCGGGACAGCTTCTTCCGTGAAATGCGACACCTTCTTCAGTTGCCCAGCCTGGCAATCTTCCTTCATACGCAGTTCATGCAAGTTGTAACGCATAGTCAGTTCATGCAAACAACGACTTAATGAAATCCAAAGTCAATGTCCAGCCGGCCGGCCGGCCAAGGTCCCGGACGAGACTTTTGAACCCTGCATAGTAAATTCGGCAGATCCATTAGGCTAACATGAATGAATTACCATGTGATATGGGCTAACATTAAGAATGGCGGCCAAGAGGACACCGAACAATTAAAACTTCATAGAGTTGGAAGTCGGACAGCATGTTTCCTTATCTCGTACTTGGATTTCATGGTCCCGTTACATTGCTCTGAGTTACTACTACTATTAAATCTAACCAACCAACAAATCAATCGGGCTCCCTAAAAGAGCCAGCCAGCCACCGGCCAAAAATCAGACCCAGTCCAACATACGACTTCTTCAGCCGCTGGCCTCCGACCACATTAATTGCCCTTTTCATTTTTTTCCAATCCTTTCATTTGCCACCATCTTTAGGGAAATACTAGAGCAAAGGCTACAGATCGAGATCAGGGCCGGCACTAGCGGTGTGCCAGGAGGCCCTCGCACAGGGCCTCCAAATTACGGGGTCTCCGATCTAGTGGTAGATCCATGAGACACCGTTAAAATTTGGAAAAAAAATTATTCAAGTTTTGATAGTAGTTTGTGTATGGATGAAAAACATATTTAAGTGGTCTAAAACAATGCTATTAAAAAAAAATTAAACCAAAATGCTAAAGAAACGAATTAAACCAAAATGCTAAAATTATTCTTCTCTTCTACTCAATTAAGTTCTCATAATTCATTCATGTGAGTATTAATTGTCAATTTAGTTACTGTTTGGATTTTGATATTTATCTTTCTATTTGAACCATTATCACTCTTAAATCTACATAAATATTATTCAAAAATAATATTTATTAAATTTTAAAGTAAGATTGGGCCTCATTTTATTTATAGAAAAAGGCATCTACATGTTTCACAGTTTCAAATGAACAAAACCAAAATGCATTGTTGTTGCCAACAGCTCAGCAACAGCAAGCACAACACCTAAAATGAAATCAACCAAACATAACCTATTCACAGCAACATGAGTGTCGAGTAGAATCCAAAAGCAAGGAAAACGAAATTAAAATGTTGTCTAAAATGCAATCTAAATGCAACAACAACCCCTATCAACTAAGACCAACAGCAACAACATTCCAAATTTCCAATAGCAGCCAACATTGAGCTTTCCTCCTTAAAAAAGTCAGTCGTCCAGATCACAAGCAGCAGCTAGCAAGTCTTCCTCGTTACCATTATCACAATTATTTGCATGCTTGTTCAGGTTGGACAATTTCACCAACATTTTCAGCAACAGGTTCTACATTTAGTTAACCTGTCATCTGCATAGACACAACAAAATCACAGTTAAAAATCTGCCATGCATGTTTGTATTAAACCACTAATCTAGAAAACAACACCGAACATGTAGAGTTGAAACCCTTACCCTGGAATTTGAAGCCTGGTCACTGCCTCTGTAAAGTTCTGGATATTATAACTCAGAACTCGCTACCCAGAACGAGAAGAGATGGCCAAATGATGAGATAGAAAGACTCGCTCAGAAATTTCCTATATATAGAAGTAGAAAACGGGCAGAATGAAGAGTCTGTTTCCTTATCTGTGATCGATAGAACTCCAAACGACTCCTTTGGGCGTAGTGATCGACGAAATCATTGACGAATGATTGCTCTTTCTGTCATATGATTGAGGAGTTGAAGAAGAGAGATTATCGATTCGATATTCTAGAGGAGGTTTTGATTGGGAAATGGCAAAAAATCAGCGAAATCACGTGTTGATCGAGCGAATGAGAGAGAGGGTTAGGGTTTCAGATTTTGGGGAGTCGAGAGTGAATGAAGGTTTAGATAGTCTCAAGCAGGTCCGGATACTATAACAACACCTCTTTTGTTGTTATAGTAACAACAAGGGTAAAAGGGTCCATTACACAATATCTAACAAATAAAAAATTAATATTCAGCTGCAGCAGTCTCTCGATCTCCTTCCTCGCGTATATCTTCCTTCCTCGTCGGCTCATTCTCCTCCAATACTCTCCCCGACGCCGACGCCGCCCAATCTGAACCTTCTAACCTCTCCACGTAATCTCGCAAGAACAGCAAGCGCTTCGCCTGTGGGTCGCGACGGCGACGTTGCTGATGTGGAAGGTCTGGCGCTACACGAAGTCACAAACCTCACGACCGACGGTGTCGTTATTTCCCCACTGTTCGTATCTTTCTCCTCTCTATAGCGATCAGAAATCTCTTCTCAACGTCAATATTTGTTTTAGCCGCCGCCAAAAATGCAGTTACCGACTCCGACGTCGGAGGCCCCAATCCTCCTCTTTCAATCGCAGCCAAATCTCGCCTCGTTCTTTATTATGCACTTTGGCCGACTATGGTACTCGAGAACATCAAGGGATCTGGATTCTACCCAGCCCTAATTCTCATCTCCATCGGCACAGGCGGTATCAGAACATATTGTGAGCTTGAGAGTTGATATTAATGGCTCTTCCCTCTTTTGCTTTTTCTTTTCAGCTTAAGATTGATGTGTATACTAACCGATCTGAACCCTACATGCAAAAGATGACGCTAATTTCAGCAGTAGATGGAGAATTTTGATGTTGGAGAGGTCCCGCTGAAGCTGCGGGAGAGACCGCAACGAAGTGAGGGAGGAAGCAGTGGAGTAATGGCTAAAGTGAATTAGGATTCAAGCTTCTAAACTTGGAAAAAGAGGTTGGATTGCCCCTTTGTACAGGCGTGTCAACTGAATCAGATATGACATGAGCATGGTCTGATTTTGTAGTCGACTTGCATGTGGTATATTTTGGGTGATCTTTAGTTGGTTATGAGTTTGGTTGTGTGGTCATCTCTAAAAACAAAGTTGAGATGTCTGTTTATATATGTTGCAAAAAAGATAATTCCAAGTGGGTCTGGATAGTATAACAACACTTAGTAACAACATAATTCATTAAGGGCAAAAGAGTAAATTACACAGAAAGTAATAAAATAATTTTGATTAAAATTCACAATCCTCTGCTCAGATCTACTCTTCCTTCAACCCCATTGCGATGCTTCTCCTCCGCTCCCCTTCTTCCCCGCCACCCGTCGCCCCTGCTTCTTCCCCGCCACCCTTGCTTCTTCTGTCATCGGGATTTTTATTTCGCCATCGGCGGCGCCAATCCGCATCTCTACCATCACCGGCGCCATCGCATCAACTGCATCGATTGAGCTCGGGATTGGGGGAAAAATTGTCTGCAAAATTGTGTGGATGGAATTGAAACATCGACGACGCTACCTAAACGGGTGAAACGGAGGGAAGAGGTTGTCGTTGCCGCCGTCGAATTGGTATGGAGACGGGGTGTGTAGAAAATATCAAGAGGGGCAAAGGTTTTTGATCGGAAACCCGCAAAGAGCAGCTGCTCAGGGTTTCTCTGGTTTTATCCATTTCCGAATTTACTGTTCCAACGGTAAATTAAGTTCACCACAACACGTGGCTTACAACGACAGGTGGAAATGAAACTAACTCAACTATTCTTATTACAACGCAGGTAACTAAACAAAACGACACCGCGTTCCGGACGAAGGCTCGAAACGCTTCCCATACAGCGAATCGTCTTCAAGTCCGAAACGCGTTTCTCTGCTGTCTTCTTCATCCTGCAGATCGACAAGTTCACTCCAGCTCTGCATCATCTGCTTTGCTTTCATGAACACCTGCATCTTCTTCCTTAGCATCTTGACAGCCTCCCTCAAGCTGGAGTGCACTAACTCCAAGCTTGTATAGCAATTCCTTAATTATGTACCTGCTTAGAGCTTTAGTAAACAGGTCAGCAACCTGATCAGCAGTTCGAATGTATAGCAATTTGATCAAACCAGATTTCACCCTTTCACGAGTCACATGTATGTCAATCTCAATGTGCTTCGTCCTTTCGTGAAACACTGGATTTTCAGCGATATGTATCGCAGATCTGTTATCACAAAACACAGAATTAGGTAGTTTCACATTCACACTTAATTCTGCAAGTAATCCCTTCATCCACTGCAATTCACAAACCAATTGAGCCAAAGCTCTGTATTCAGCTTCTGAGGAAGATCGTGAAACAGCTGACTTACTGCAATTCCATCACTGTTCCTAACAATTTCAAGGCCTAAGAAATATCTCAGTTGTCCCAGGTCCTTGATTTTAAAAGTCTTGCTAAGATACTTCTTTACTTCTTCCACATCTGCTCTGCTGTCACCTCCTATTATAATATCATCCACATACACCAGTAAAACCACAAAACGCCCTTGAATCCATTTGGTAAACATGGAATAGTCTGAAGCAGACTGTGAGAAACCATGCTGCAGCAAAGATGAAGTCAACTTAGCAAACCATTGTCGACTTGCCTGCTTAAGTCCATATAGTGACTTTCTTAACCTGCAAACTAGCTTTTCAGGACCTTTAGCTCTAGGATCTCCTGGTGGAAGCACCATATACACTTCTTCTTTTAAGTCTCCATGCAAAAATGCATTGGAGACATCCATCTGATCCAATACCCAACCCTTGTTAGCAGCAACAGCAAGTAATGCTTTCACAGTGTTAATCTTGGCAACAGGAGAGTAGGTATCAAGAAAATCAATACCATAAACTTGTGTAAAACCCTTTGCCACTAACCTTGCTTTAAATCTTTCAATACTGCCATCTGGTCTCCTTTTGATCTTGAACACCCATTTATTGCCTATGGCTCTCTTACCTTTTGGTAATACCACAACATCCCAAGTGTGGTTTTCTTCCAGTGCCCGAGTTTCTTCATTCATAGCTCTATTCCAATGTTCAGAAGCAGCAGCTTCTTGATAAGAACATGGTTCTACCTCATGCATAACACTCAGTATATAGGCTTTGTCAGCTTGTGATAACTGATCATAATCCAGATAATCATCCATGGGATACTTGCTTACACTGCCAACATGATAATCATCAAATTTAACTGGCATCTTCCCTCTATTAATGCGAATGGGTCTGCCTTCATATTCCTTTTGGATTTCCAACTCAGGATTATCATCATTCTCAACAAGATCCTCTAAATAAACAGGTTCAGGAGTACTAGTGTGACCAGAACTACTGCTAGCAGGAGTAGTATTAGAAGGGGATGGAGTAGATGAGATTGAGGGAGAAGGAGTGATACTGGCACTGCCCCCCTCTGATCCCTCAATGGGAGGAGGGGAAGGATGGTAAATGGGTATACTGAATGGTGCCAAGGGGGGAGGAATAACTGGAGGTGTGTGAGCAGAAGAGGAAGTATCAGAAGATGAGGTACGAAAAGGAAGAATGTCTTCATAAAAAATGACATTCCTGGAAAGGAACACCTTCTGGTCAGAAAGTTGGAGAAGAGTATAACCCTTGACTCCAGTGGGGAAGCCAAGGAAAACACATTGGGAAGCACGAGGATGGAACTTTGTACGGCCATGAACCAGGGTTGAGGCATAACAAAGGCAACCAAAGACCTTTAACATAGATAGATCAGGCAGTTTTTGATGCAATAACTGATAGGGAGAATGGTTCTTGAGCACAGGTGTAGGCATTCTATTAATGAGATAGACTGAGTGAAGGATACATGCACTCCAAAACCTTAAAGGGACACCAGATTGGAAGCGCAAAGCACGAGCAACATTCAAAATATGCTGATGCTTGCGTTCCACTCTTCCATTTTGTTCAGGAGTTTCTACACAGGAAGTCTGATGTTCTATCCCATGAGTTCTATAATAATCAGTCATATGAAATTCCTGACCTTGATCACTACGAATGGTCTTAACTGATTTCCCAAATTGTTTCTCAACTAATTGACAGAAACCTTGCAGTAATTCACGAGTCTCTCCTTTAGTATGCATTAAGTAAACCCAAACTGCCCTACTATAGTCATCCACCACAGTTAAGAAGTAGCTATAGCCATCATAAGATTTAACTGACAAGGGGCCCCAGATATCAACATGTATAAGTGCAAAAGCTTCAGAGACAGTCACTTCATTAACAGGGAAAGGAAGTTTGTGTTGTTTAGAGAGGTGACAAATCTCACAATGAGAAACAGATTCATTGTGAGTTACATTGTTTTGTTTCATAAATAGCTGAAATCTATCTCTACTGGGGTGACCTAAACGCCAGTGCCATAAGCTAATGTCTTGTGGTTGGAGATTGTATGTGAAAGCAGCTTGTGGAGAGGAGGTGGGAAGTAATGAAGGAAAGGGCTCGAAAGTAGAAAGGTCGAGAAGGTATAGTCCTTTACTTTGTCTTGCCAAACCAATGCTCTTCTGGGTCTGTAGGTCCTGGATGTCACAGACAGAAGAGTGGAAATGCAAAGATAGAGGTAAGTCTGTGGTTAACTTGCTAACAGAAATGAGGTTAAATGTGAAGCTGGGAACAAGAAGGACGTTGTAGAGAACAAGTCCAGAGGGTAGGTGCACTGTCCCTAAATGGCTCACTAAGACTCTTTGGTTGTTAGGCAAGTAAACAAAGGTATTGTGAATCACAGTGTAATCAACAAAATGATCTAAAGAGCAAGTGATATGATCCGAGGCCCCTGTGTCAAGTATCCAAATGGTTTGCAAAACAGATTCATCCAAGGTTCTGTGTGAGGAAAGAACAAACTTACCAGCTTGATTAGGGTAAGCAGGTGAGTACTGTGCCACAGAGTAAGCCTTAGGATTGATCCTTGGTGAGCTACCAGGTGATAAGGGACCAGCATCAATACCAAACTGCAAGAGGGTCTTGAGACGAGTAATTTCTTCAGTGGAGAATGCATTTGCAGCCTTAGTTGGACTAATAGTGCTGTCATCAGAGAGACTACTAGTGCTGTCAGAGGAAAGGGCTGCATTGTCAGTGGAAACTGAACCAGAAAATCCACCATTCTCCTGCTCCTTCTTCTTCAACTTCCAACAATCCTTGATATTATGATCAGTACGCTTGCAATACCTGCAGAACAGTTTCCCTGTGCCTGAACCAGCCTCCTGTTTCCCTTTAGACTGATCCCTTCCATACTGAGAGCCAACAGCCAGAGCAATAGACTGACTACCCTTGGACTTGGTCTGATCCCCTTTCAATTTTTGCTCATGTTGAAGCAAATCATCCACAGCAGCGGTAACAGTAGGCAAGGGTTTCATCATAAGTAACTGGGTCTTCACCACTTCATACTCCTTGTTGAGCCCCCTCAAGAAGCGGATTAAGTAATCTGTTTCTTGTTTAGTTTGAAAGGCAACAACAGCTGGACAAGGGTTGGGGTTGGTTGGAGCACAAGTACAGGGCACAATGGGTGAAAATTGCTGAAGATCCTCCCAGAACCCTTTGACTTCAGTATAATACTGGGTAATGGAGCGATCGCCCTGCTTGCAAGCCTGAAGTTCATCTTCAAGATTAATAATACGCAAGGCATTTGGTTGACCAAATCGTCTCTTTAATTCCTCCCACAAAATGCGAGCATTCTCATGATTCATCACACTGCGAGCAATTTCCTTCTTCAAGGAATTAACAATCCAACAAAGAACGATGGTATTACAACCATCCCACAAATGGAAGTTGTCACTGCCAGGAGGCGGGACTGGAATAGATCCGCCAATGAAGCCCAGCTTGTGCTTGGTCTTCAGCGCCAAACGCATTGAACGACTCCACATGGAATAATTGCTACCATCCAGAAGCTCAGTAACAAGAGACTGAGAGAGATTCTCGTTGGGATTAAGGTAAAAGGGGTTTCCAAATTGGATCTCACCTCGGCCACCCGGCATCTGATTCTCGGTGAAGCTCCCAAACTGGACGGGACCGGTGCCGTCGGTAGCACCACTGCTACTAGGAGGAGTAAACATAGTTGTACCAGCCATGTCCGATCATAAGCGAGAATCAGATCTGGGGCTCTGATACCATGTAGAAAATATCAAGAGGGGCAAAGGTTTTTGATCGGAAACCCGCAAAGAGCAGCTGCTCAGGGTTTCTCTGGTTTTATCCATTTCCGAATTTACTGTTCCAACGGTAAAGAAAAGTTCACCACAACACGTGGCTTACAACGACAGGTGGAAATGAAACTAACTCAACTATCCTTATTACAACGCAGGTAAATAAACAAAACGACCCCGCGTTTCGGACGAAGGCTCGAAACGCTTCCCATACAGCGAATCGTCTTCAAGTCCGAAACGCGTTTCTCTGCTGTCTTCTTCATCCTGCAGATCGACAAGTTCACTCCAGCTCTGCATCATCTGCTTTGCTTTCATGAACACCTGCATCTTCTTCCTTAGCATCTTGACAGGGTGAACCATTGCCGCTCTTTCTCGTCATCGACGCGCAGGATCGGACCTTCTGTACCTTCCGCCGCGGGGACTCGGCATGGAAGAATTACTACCACTACCACGCCTGGGATGACAGTCGGCATTGCGTGGGGATTGGGTTCAGGGAGGGAAAATTCTTCTGCCTGTTCGAAACATGTACCTTTTAATTTTCGGACCTGGCGGTGGCGGCGAGTGGAGGATGCTGGAGGCGGTTTCTTCTCCGACGCCGGCGGGCCAAGTGTACAATAATCTGCAAATTGTGGAGAGGGGACGGAGAGGGGACGACGTTGGGTCGTGTGTGGTGGTGAATTGGGAGCGAGTTGCGGATAGAGGAAGATAGAGGTGGCGGCTGACAGAGTAGAGAGGAGAAGAAAGGAAGAATAAGAAGAAGAAAAATCTAGTTTTTAATGTATTTTAGTGGCGGCTGGCGAGAGTAGAGAGGAGAAGAAAGGAAGAATAAGAAGAAGAAAAATCTAGTTTTTAATGTATTTTAGTGTATTATGGTGTTTAGGAGTTATCGTTATGCAGATCACTAGTTTTTAATTAACACACCAGAAACTTCCTATTGCAGATCATAAACATGATAAAAAAAACCACAAAAAGCAAACAAGAAACCTCCTAATGCATACCACAAATTTCCTAAAACAAACCAGAAACACCACAAACCAAACCAAACCATAAATATTTTGAAAGCACACCAGAAAACTCATAACGCAAACCATAAACACCGTAAAGCAAACCACAAAAACAAACCAGAAACGTCCTAATGCAAACCAAAAATATATTAAAACAAACCAGAAACCTCACAAAGCAAACCACAGAATTTTCAAAAACACACTAGAAATCTCATAATGCAAACCACAAACACGTTAAAGCAAACCACAAAAACAAACCAGAAACCTCCTAATACATACCACAAATCTCCTAAAACAAACCAAAAACCCCTCAATGCAAACCACAAAATTTTTGAAAGCAAACCAGAAACTTCTCAATGCAAACCACAAACACGATAAAGCAAACCACAAAAGGCATACAAAAATATGAGAAACCAAACCATAAATCTCACAATGCAGACCATAACATCCGGTGGTCGTTGGCCGTTGACCGGTCAGCAAAGACCGTTGACCAGTCAACGAAAACCGTTGACCAAACTCCGATGACCGTCAGTGAGTAGATTCCGGCGCCGATAGGCATATTCCGGCCCCGTTGACTAGATTCCGACGCCGGTAAGCATATTCCGACGCCGGTAAGCATATTCCGGCCACAAATAGCATATTCCGGCGACAAAAAGCATATTCCGGTGACCGGCGACCATTTTCCGCCGACCGGTGGCAGAATTCCGACGACCAAAATTTTGGTCCGAAAATAAAAAAAATATTTTTTTTATTTTTTTTTATTTTTTTATAATGACAATTATACCCCTGCTTTGATTTTACACTAGGTCAACTCATCTAATAAAAAGTCATCACAATCCTAACTTCCTATTGGTTGGGGACTAGTGTTGTTACAATAACAACACAATGGGTGTTGTTATAGTAACCGGTCCCATTCCAAGTTGTAAAGCTCGTGAGATGGCTGGGTGGAGTCTTGTGATTGGATTGTGATGTAAGTTATTCAATTATGAGTCCTTCCATATGGAAGAGCTTTGTTACAATTAGTGGTTTGTGATTCTAAATGGGGTTGTAGCTTTGTAACAGTTTTGTATTCTTTTGTTAGTTATCATTTCATAAGCACACTAGAAACTTCCCAATACAGATCACAAATCACCTAAAACAAACCAGAAAAGTTAGAAAGCAAACCACAAATATTTTATAAGCACATCAGAAACCTCCTAATACAAACCACAAATGCGATAAAACAAACACAAAAAGCATATCTGAAACCTCCTAAATGAGACCGCAGATGCTCTAAAACATACCAAAAACCTCACAAAGCAAACCACATAATTTTCAAAAACACACTAGAAACCTCATAATGTAAACCACAAACACAAAAAAGCAAACCACAAAAACAAACCAGAAACGTCTTAATGCAGACCAAAAATATATTAAAACAAACCAGAAACCTCACAAAGCAAACCACAGAATTTTCAAAAACACACCAGAAACCTCCTAATGCAAACTACAAACACAGTAAATCAAACCACAAAAACAAACCAGAAACCTCCTAATGCATACAACAAATCTCCTAAAACAAACCAAAAACCCCTCAATGCAAAACACAAAATTTTTGAAAGCAAACCAGAAACTTCTCAATGCAAACCACAAACACGATAAAGCAATCTAGAAACATTTTAATGCAAACCACAAACACGATAAAGCAAACCACAAAAGGCATACAAAAATATGAGAAACCAAACCATAAATCTCACAATGCAGACCGTAACATCCGGTGGTCGTTGACCGGTCAACGAAAACCATTGACCAAACTCCGATGACCGTCAGTGAGCAGATTCTGACGCCGATAGGCATATTCCGGCCTCGATGACTAAATTCCGACGCCTGTAAGCATATTCCAGCCACGGTGAGCATTTCCGATGAAAAATAGCATATTCCGGCGATAAAAAATATATTCCGGTGACCGACGACCAATTTCTAGCGACCAAATTTATGGGCAGAAATTTTTTTTATATATTTTTTTAAAAATATTTTTCTTAATGACAATTATAATCCTGTTTTGATTTTACACTAGGTCAACTCATCTAATAAAAAGTCATCACAACCCTAACTTCCTATTGGTTGGAGACTAGTGTTGTTACAATAACAACACAAGGGGTGTTGTCACACTATCTAGTCCCGTCTCAAGCGGCGGCCGCTTAGGCGTCGTTTATAAATGCACGCCAAAACGACGTCGTTTTGTGCACGGACAATCCATCGGGTGGGTCTCGGGCGGATATGCATGGATCCGGCCACGTCTGTGACCTGCATTTGACGGACTACGGGTTACCCGCCACCCGTTGACGGGCCTCAACGTCCAAGCAAAACAGACACATGGCAGGCGAACTTTGAGCGGATACCCGGAAACGTGCCCCAACCTGCCATCCCTAGCTTCAGAGTTGCAACATATATATTCCATAGGCACAAAAACCCTGCGTTGCAAGTAGAGCTGTCAAAATGTAACCCGACCCGAGTAACCTGCTCGATCAACCAGACCCGCAACCCGCCCGCAACCCGATTTGACTAAAAGTCAATTACCCATAACCCGCCTGACCCGCAACCTGGTCGACCCGCAACCCAATCACCCCGCAACCCGATCGACCCGCAACCCCACCAACCCGCAATCCGACTAACCCGAACTCGTAACCCGACCCGCAGGCCGATTATTAACTTAGCATAATAATTACAATATTATACGGTCAATGCGTTAACTTGGCAGTGACATGGCGCATTGACTAACGGTCAATGCGTTTGACCGTCCAAGTAAACGGTCAAAAGTCGGATCTGGCCAAATTGTTTATTTTGGTGTATAGTTCGGGCCAGGATGTTATAGATCGAAAAGATTGGCCAGGATGTTTATTTTGGTCAAAGTTCAGGCCATATGAAAATATTAACCCAAATAATAACTTATAACTAATAAGGATCGAGTTTTTTATTACACGTGTTCATGAATCAAACTATTAGGGGTTTAGGGTATATAGACTATAGAGTCGATGTATAGGGTATATGGTTAGTCTAATGGGTTAGGGTATAAGGTATTAATGGTTTAACAGTTATTAGTCAAAATCATAACTAATAAGATCAACTTTTCATATTAACACATGTTCATCAATCAGAATTCAGATCATTAGGGGTTTAGGGTATAGGTTATAGAGTCGACTTATAGGGTATATGGTTAGGGTATAAAGTCTTAATGATTTGACCACGGTTAGTCAAAATCATAACTAATAAGATCAACTTTTCTTATTAACATATGCTCATCAATCAAACCAGTAGGGGTTTAGGGTATAGGTTATAGATTCGACTTGTAGGTATATGGTTAGAGTATAAGGTATTAATGGTTTGGCCACGATTAGTCAAAATCATAACTAATCAGATCAAGTTTTTTTTATTAAAATATGTTCCTCAATCAAACCATTAGGTTTTTTTTCCCAAAGAAATGTCAATAGAGAGAACTATACAATCTACCCGAAAACCTCCCAACCTATTACATCAATGAAGCCACCCAACAAAGTCGAAAAAACATAACTCAAGAGGAGAAAGAAGCAGGGCTTTCTGCGCCACTCTATGGGCAACCCTGTTAGCAGTCCGAGGAACTGCCCTAAACTCTAATGAGACAGAGACTGAAGATAGAAGAAGGAAGCAATCCCGAAGCACCGGTCTGTTGGAGGAAGCTTTGTCTGCTGGCATCGAAAAACAATGGAAAGGTTGATCGGGCAAGAACCAAAAGAGGAAAGAACTAATGAAGCGGGAAATCAGGCAAGAGATTGATCCTACAGAATCTGAAGGCAATGGTTGGAAAAGAAGAATTTAAAAGAACATAGTCTGGTTAGTCGAGGTAGCCTTTCGGGTAAAACTTTCAATAGCAGAAACAAAGGGAATTGACTGTGTATTGAAAGAAAAAGAGAGGTAGCTATCAGGGAGATAGTGTTAGTAGAGAGTGATCGGAATTCTGGCGGGGAGCTGAATTCTGATCCGAAGTTCTGATCGAGTAACAGGGAGTTACTAAGAGATTGCTTGTAATCTGTAATCCGAATCACAATATCGTAGTAACGTCAAAGGGCTCAAATCAGAGTTCCTTTGACCATGGACTAGTCGATACTGATTTATCAGTATCAGAAAACACGTAAAAATCTCTATGTGTCAATCTCTGTCATTTTCATTCTGTTTATACTGTGATTCATCTCTGTTTTGCAGCATAGCTTGTTTTGCAGGTTTACAGGAAGAACAGAGACACAGCAGGTTGAAGAAATAAACCAGACGCTGTCGTTTTGAGTGGGAGTCGTCCACAGGCCTTGCTAAGAAAACTATTGGGCTTTCAGCCC